CGCCACTGGGTTTAGGAGAAAACTGCGACCTGGGAGCTGGATGGGGAATTTCTGCCACTCATATGAAACTGGGCCTTCCTACCTGCCATGTGAGCTGCAGCTGTGGAGTAAATGCTTTTTGGATGCTAATCCACTGAGCGCTGGACAGGTCTCAGTTGCCGACTCTGGGACCTTGGGCAAGTCACTTAACCTCTCACGGCTGTCGTTCTCTGGCCAGAAACAGTGCATGGTCTGTCCCCACCTCTCTCACCCGGCTATTTCCAGAATTAATTGGATAATGCTCACAGAGTGCTTTGAGCTTCCAAGAAAGAGGGGTGTCTGCAACACAGGACAATTACTCTAATTATGATTGCCTGGGAACCCGCACACAATTTTACCTTTTAACATTAGCCCTGCACATCATGGGAGAAGAGTCAAGGCCGCTTGTCCCAAAGAGGATGATTTTAAGAAGCTCAATTTACAAAAAAAAAGGCAGAGCTTAGAAAACAGAGGCACCTGCCCTCTGCTGACACTCAGAAAAAGTCCCTTCAGCTGGTCCCCACGGAGGGCTACTGGGGTCGTGGCTGGGAGCAGCCAGGCAGGGAAATCGTGGCTCCTTTCCAGAGATGCGGGCTGCGGAGACAGCTCCATGATGAAAGTGGCCACCTCCCTCCTTGGTCCCTAATACGTGTAGGTGTAAGGCTCCCCTCGTCACACCACAGGGTGGGCAAGCTCACCCTAGGACCCAGCTCAGTGTGTCCACCCTGTCAAGCCAGCCATTGTCCCCTTCCAAATTCATGACTCGGCCTGAGTGTGCCATGACATGTGGCTAATTCAGGGCTGGATGCAGGGCCCAGGAAGCCAGGTGACAGCCTATTGGAACTGAGCCGACCAAGCAGTGCAACAGTGGTGGGATCTGGCCCTGCACGGTCATGGGGCTTGGACAAGTCACCGTGTTGGTGCAGACAGACAGGAGACAGAAGACATACAGAGGACTGGAAGTGTGAAGCGGTGCAGCCCTGGGAGAGAGTGAGTGACACGCTGTCGAGGGAGGATGGTGCCCTGGAGGCTGGATGGCACCTCCAACCTCGGACTCCTCCGGTAATCCAGGTTCCTCCGATAAACCCCCTATGCCTTGCAACAGAACACCCTTCCCAAGCTGCTTTCAGGTTCAGAGACCCTGCAAGAGTGAGAGAGACCAGGCTGCAGGGTCTGCTCCCAGAGGAGTCTGGAGAACGGGAGGAGCCGGAAGCTGGAGGTGCCTCCCAGCCTCGAGGGAACCGGGTCTCCGTCAACAGCACCTCATCCGCCCTCTCCCAGGGTTCACCGCTTCACCCTCCCAGGTAATTGATTGGACTCAGGGACTTCTCCAACATCTCGGGCCCAATGGTAGCAACAATGGCCACCATTCACAGGGTGCTTCCTCTGTCTTGGGCACTGGTATGCATTACTTCATCCAAACCCTCACACCAGCCAGGTGAGGGGTGGGCCCCTTTCAAGCCCTATGAGTTCTTGGCCAAGTTACTTCACTTGTCTGGGCTTCCTCTGTTGTACAATGGGGATAATACCACTCTTTAGCAGAGATTTTGTGAAAATTAAATAAAAGAGCATAAAGTATTTTGTCAACTGTGAAGTTCTATGTCCATGTGAGCTCTTGGTCTTGACATTTCCTGGCTTTGCTGGCACGTTAGTCTTTCTTTGGGAAGCCAAGAGACAGATGTTGCCAGCGTGGCCCCCAGATTCTGAGTTCCCTGGAACTGAGGCAGGAATCCACCACCGGGAGTGTTGCCTCCCATGGCTCCTTGTCTACACCCCCTCTTAGTCTCATCTGGTCAGACTGTAGATCTCCAGGGATCTACACTTAGAACCAGGGCAGGGGAGAAGGGTCTCAGGAAAGGAATCAACAGCACGGTCGGCCCTTACTGAAGTGGAGATTGCTGTGTTGTTCATGAAAACAGGTGCCATCACCTGGGGCTCCTCCCAGGAGGCGCCCAGACCAGCATGTCTGGCTGGGGTGACCAGCTCTGGCAGCCGTGCAGAGACAAGGGCACCCAAGGGCATTTCTGCACACCAGGACTCTCAGATTTGCTATGGCTGAAACCCATCCATTCCGAAATCTGAAAGGCAGGCACTTAGTTCAAGCCGGAGAGTTTGTTTGACGAACCAAGAAACATTTGTCAAGCTCCCAGCCAAGCTCTGTGGAGGACCAAGACTCATGCTCTGTGCTGGGGGCACCAAGCGGGGAGAAAGAGGGGGAAAGTCGAAGCTCCAAACTTGGGGAAACCCGGAATGCGCAGAGGAGGCCGAGAGAACATCCTCACCTCCCTCGAGGCCGGGACAGGCTGAGATTGGTGGGGGCTGGGTGGGCAGAGAAAGCTTCTAGGGAAGAGTAGGATGAGCCGGAGGAAGGAAGGCTGGTTAGAAGCAAAGAAGCGGCCGGGCGCGGTGGCTCAAGCCTGTAATCCCAGCACTTTGGGAGGCCGAGGCGGGCAGATCACGAGGTCAGGAGATCGAGACCATCCTGGCTAACACAATGAAACCCCGTCTCCACTAAAAATACAAAAAAATTAGCCGGGCGCGGTGGCGGCGCCTGTAGTCCCAGCTACTCGGGAGGCTGAGGCAGGAGAATGGCGGGAACCCAGGAGACGGAGCTTGCAGTGAGCCGAGATCGCGCCACTGCACTCCAGCCTGGGCGACAGAGCGAGACTCCGCCTCAAAAAAAAAAAAAAAAAAAAAAAAAAAGAAGCAAAGAAGCCGCCTCTGCCAGGCCAGGCAGCTCACAGGAGCACAGGCGACAGATCCCGCTGCCCATCTTACCCCACTGTCGTGCAGTGTGATGGGCAGGCCAGCTTTGCTCTCCTGAGGCCATGGGCAAACCACTGAACATTTCAGTGTACTATCACTTCCTAAGCAATAAAGCGGCGTCACAGGGCTGTGGGGGAAGAGCGTCTCATCGTTACGCTGTTTTATGACTGGCAACTAATACTTAATGAATGCCAAGCACACAGCGCTGAGTGCTTTACGCAAGTTACCTAAGTGGACCTTCCTCACTTGGAGACCCAGACCCGTCCTATTGCCACTTTAGAGAAGGGGAAATTGAAACGTAGGGAGATGGTATTTGACTAAGACAAGTTTATTCTGGGGTCTCCATTTAAACCCCAAGCCTTTGCCTTTAACCAGGCCTATCCCAACGTCCTGCCCATGGCTGGAGTGACCGTGTCAATCAGCACTGAACAGAAAAATAGAATGCAAACCACAGACATCATGTTTTATTTTCTAGTAATCACATCAAAGAACCAGGTGGAAATAATGTTAACAATGTATTAATTCTTAATTCAATAGATCCAAAATATTATTGAACTTATAATCAACATAGAAAATATTAATGAGGCGGGGTGCCGTGGCTCACACCTGTAATCCCAGCACTTTGGGAGGCTGAGGCAGTTGGATCACTTGAGGTCAGGAGTTCGAGACCAGCCTGGCCAACATGGCAAAACCCCGTCTCTACTAAAGATACGAAAATTAGCTGGGAGTGGTGGTAACACCTGTAATCCCAGCTACTCGGGAGGGTGAGGCAGGAGAATCACTTGAACCCGGGAGGCGGAGGTTGCAGTGAGCTGAGATCATGTCATTGCACTCTAGCCTAGGTGACAGAGCAAGACTACGTCTCAAAAATATATATATATACACACACACACATATACATATATATATGAGATGTTTTACTTTCTTTCTTTTTTTTTTTTTTTTTTTTTGAGACGGAGTCTCGCTCTGTCACCCAGGCTGGAGTGCAGTGACCGGATCTCAGCTCACTGCAAGCTCCGCCTCCCAGGTTTATGCCATTCTCCTGCCTCAGCCTCCCGTGTAGCTGGGACTACAGGTGCCCGCCACTTCGCCCAGCTAGTGTTTTGTATTTTTTAGTAGAGACGGGGTTTCACCATGTTAGCCAGGATGGTCTCGATCTCCTGACCTCGTGATCCGCCTGTCTCGACCTCCCAAAGTGCTGGGATTACAGGCTTGAGCCACCGCGCCCGACTGTACTTCCTTGTTTTCATACTAAATCTTCAAAATCTGGTGTGAATTTGCACCAACCGCACATCTCAGTAGCCACACATGGGTCTTGGTTCCGTATTGGACAGCACTGGTGTCAGTTACCTTCCAAAGCAGGACCCATCTCCTATCATGGATAGGAGATGCCATGAGTGATAGCCAGGATCACAGGCAGAATCCAGGGCTGTCCCAGGCAAACCAGTCCTGTGAGATGCGTAGAGAAACCTGGTTCCCTTTTCCCCATGCCTACATCCCAAAGCATCTTGTGTCCTGCACGCCCTCCTGACAGCACCATCTCGTGGCCCTCCCTCTGCCGCTGTTAATCTTTCCAAAGAACCTGGCTGCACCTTTGCTAATCTCTATTTTATTTGTGCCTGTCCTTGTCCTTATTCCTGTCATCTTTCTCGTTCCTTTAGGTTTGCTCTGTGACTCTTTTTCCAGTTTCTAGGAGCAAACACCTAGCTGGTTTGTTTTCAGCTTTTCTTGTTTCTTGATAAATGGATTTAAAGGCACAGATTTCCCTCTCTCTGTGTTCCACAAATTTGGGCATGTAGCATCCCCAAAATCATGTCATCCTTGATTTTTCTGATTTATTTTATTGTTTCTATTTTCAATATGCTATTTAGCTTCCAAACAGAATTTCTGAGCTATTCTTTTGCTTTTAATTTCTGGTTGTATTTCACTGTGATCAGAGACACGGTATAACCACACAGATTCTTTGCAGTGTAACGAGACCTCCTCTACGGCCCACCGTGTGATCGATTTTGGTAAACATTCTGATGTTGGGTGAGTCCCTTCTCTGAAGAAGCCACTTGCTGCCAGGTTTAGCTTTCTGAAAGCACCAGCTAACTCATGGCGCCCTCTGTTCAAAACCACTGGAGGCGCCCAGCCAAGCCTGGCTCATCTCCAAAGTCAGAGCTTGGTCTCAAGGCCTCCCCATGGCCTAGCCCGTCAGCTCCCGGTGACTCCGGGATGAGGACTCCTGCACCTTTGTGAGTCACAGCCTGTCCTTCCCTGTCAGGCCCAGCTGTCACTCTCCTGGGCCTGTCTCAAAGAAACCCCGGGCCAGGAAGGAGCCCCAGAGGTGCTCAGTTCAGCAGAGAGAGCCATTTCCTGTGCATCTGCCAGTGGAAGAAAAGCAACAATCACGGTAAGAACATTGGCAACATGGGTGTCTGCAACCCACGTTATAGCTGAGAACATGTGGAGTGTTGGGTATGGGGGCTCCCAGGTCAGGGTAACTTGCCCAAGGCTCTGTCTGGCTGCAAAGTTGGGGCCCTAAGCCACTTCATTCAGTGAACACGAGGGCAACAATTGATCCATTTCCTAGAAAGAAAAATCAAGGTAGGTAGGTGATCAGGTTCCAAGAGGAGTCAGTGGAGCTTTGGGATCAGTTGGTTCTCTAGGGACCGCTCCTAACCTTAAAAAACAACTGGCACGGCTGGGCGCGGTGGCTCACACCTGCTATCCCAGCACTTTGGGAGGCCAAGGCAGGTGGATCACCTGAGGTCAGGAGTTCAAGACCAGCCTGCTCAACATGGCAAAAATCTGTCTCTACTAAAAATACAAAAATTAGCTGGTCGTGGTGGTGCATGCCTGTAATCCCAGCTACTCAGGAGGCTGAGGCTGGAGGATTGCTTGAACCCAGGAGGTAGAGGTTGCAGTGAGCCGAGGTCATGCCACTGCACTCCAGCCTGGGCAACAAGAGTGAAACTCCATCTCAAAAAAACAAAAAAACAACAAAAAAAAAAAAACTGGCACAACTTGGAAAGCCCTGACTGCTCAAGAAAGCCAGAACTTTATCCCCTGGCACAACACCAGGGAAGCCCACAGCCCTGGGAAGAAGTCAGGTCCGTTTCTACACATTGAGACAGGACTCAAACCACCTCTGCACATCTGAATGCAGAGAGGCAGGCACAGGAAGAAGAAATGGATGGTGAGGGATGTGTGCAGTTTTCTACTGGACTCTGTTTCCCTCCGTCAGGTGCCAGAGGGAGCCCAGAGAATATGGAAAGTTTAACGACAGGCGGGCAGACCCTGACTGGCAGCTTCGTCAGTGCAACCCAGATAACGACAAACGCAAACCTCGCCATGGTCCAGACACCTCACTCCGACTTCCTCTCCGTGCCAGCGCAGAGCCCGCCAAAGGTCATGGACAAGATAGAATTTGACACAATAAGACTCCACTCCCATGTTAATGCCCCTCCGATCCGGGCCTGCAAAAGTGAAATAATAAATTTAGGAAAACAAGCAGAATGACCCGTCTGGTTGGTTGGTTTTTCTAGATACCATCTACATATTTTAGAAACGTACAACCTTCTAATGGAAATGAATAAACTACTCAACCATAAAGTTGCTATAGAAGATATGCTTGTTCTGATTCGAAAGGGCATCTGCTATCTGCAATATTGATAATACTTTTCAAATTTCATCTGCTTTTGTTTGCATTCTGCGTTGTCTGTTTAAACACACTGGGAATAATAATGAATCCCCGCATTATCTCTACTTTTTCAAGGCCGAACATATAACTTTATCACAAAAATAATTAAAATTCTTTGGCACTCTTGTATCTTTTCCATTAAACGTTATCAACCAGTGACAATAAACTAACATGAGCCCAAGGCTGGCCATGGGCCGCCTTTACAAAGAATGCATTTGTCCCCGGGCGAGAGACATGAATTTTCAGTTTACAGGGTCAGGCGATCCTGAAGTTTTTTACAGTAGGAGACCACAAATCTATACCTCCTGTCCCCTAACGGGGGCTGGCGGCGGCCACAGGGTGCCCCATAAATTCTCAGGCAAGAATACACTTTAATAGGCAAAAAAACCTTGGCAGCTTAATAATTCTGCGTTGCAAATTTAAATATTTTACATATCATTAGACATTAAAAACAAAGATTTATGCTGCTCGTCTCCATGGAGTGAGGACTCCGTCGACTTCACACCCGGCCATGAATCTGCTTGAGGTTCATTAGCTGAACGTCTTCGGCTAAGAAAGCCCGTCGAGTGGGGGTGGCCTCTAAATCACCACTTGTATTTTTCCGCCATCAGGAACCACTTGAGGAGACCCCTCCCCTGGGCAATGCCCCACGCCAGCTCCCTGACCCGCCAACATCCGGGAACCACGGGGTGGTACCCAGCCTCCCCCAGCCAGCAGGAGCCTTAACAGGGGAGCACAAACCCATCTGTCTACAGTACCCCATCACCTATGACACCCTAAGGCCTGGGGAGGGACTCACCTGCCAGGTCACACCGGACAGGGGGAGAGGAGATTTGAGCAGGGGCTGCTGGGTACTTCTTAGAGGCCCATTGACACACAGAACTGGGCCACAAGTTGACAGCCCCAGATGAGGAGGAGGAGAGGGCAGGGACAGGTTGGGCACAGAGAAGTGGAAGAGGAAGAACTTCCCACAGCCACAGGCCCCACCCCTCAGTGGCCAGGGCTGTCCTGTGGCACAGCTTTTGGTGATCGTCTGCCCTCTCTTCAGGGGTGTCTCCTTCATACAGCCACACTCATCTCAAAGTCCTACTTCTCCTGCAAGCCGGCTCACAGCCCTCATCCAGAAACGCCTTACCGCCCAATGCAGCCTGTTCCCTCTTGAGTCCTTACTTAGGATTTCCTGAGCAGAACTTGCTCTTCCCCCACACAGCCCAGAACCCCCTCAGTCCAAGAGGAAGCTCCCCAGCATACGGCCTCTGGCATGGCCAGGTCTGCACCTTCTCCAGTCCCCTGATGCGTAGCAGAGGTGCCTCACCAGCAGCCGGGAGGGAGGAACGCATGAGTTATATCTCTTATTTTCTGTATTTCTGTTGCTTGGACATGTGGAGCCTTACTGGCCCAGAAGGGACCACCCCTGCCAGAGCCAGCCCGTGCTTAGAGAGGGTAAACAGTTCACCAGCAAGGCACTTTCAAATGCAACCCAACTGATCCAGAGCCCACGCTCCAACCACCTCCTCTGCTGGCTCTTGTCCTCCAGGCCACTCTCTACTTGCTCTCATCACCCCAGGGCCAAGTACCAGAGAACCAGGGACGGTCCCTGTGCCCCAGAGCAGCTGAAATGGCACAGACTAGCCCTCCTAGACTTGCTTACCCTCCTTCTCCCATTCCTGCCCATGGAAACCACAATGGAGGCCCTGGCCTGGTGTTCCCCTCTCTCCCTCTGCCTCTAGACCCACCCTGGTGCTGCCCCATACGGCTCTGGGGGTTGTGGCGTGCCCCCTCCTGGTGGGGACTGTGAGTAACAAACCATCTTGTCTGCAGCAGTTGTCTCTTGATCCATTGGCCGTATTGTACCTTAAATTTCCTGCTAATATACTATATTTTAAAACAGAGCATACAGCTGACAGAGGTGGGTATTTACAAGACAGCTCAGTGTTACATAAGCTTTGAAATGCATGTCTTTTGAGAGAACATGAGCTGCCTGGAGCCACAGTCTCTACCACTCCCTCTTTTGTCATACCCACGTCTCTGCTGGGCCTGAAGCTTCACGAGTCTAGGGTCCTAGCTAGGAGACTCCTCCCCTGGTGGCTGGAATGTGACAGGAGGAATGCCCCAGCCTCTGGGGAGGGGGGCCCATGGGCTCCTTGCATGGTCACTGCTGGGTGCTGGATCCTGGTGGAGTCAGCTGGGCTGGGGAGGAAGAGAGGGCCGTCTCAATCTGCAGATGCCCTGGACCAAGCTGTGGTGCTTCATTCTGCAGAGTCTGTGAAGGTTTCTGGAGACCTCAGCAAAGCTCAGAAACACCACCAGAGCCAGCCATGCTTGAGAAGCCATCTCCCCAACACTTCCCTCTTCCTCACATGAGCAATCCGAGTTCAAAGGACAGGAAGGGACTGGCACAGAGTTATCCAGCAGTCGTATTCTTCTGGGTACAAGGGGGAAGAGTCGCCATGCAAGTACCTCTCTGTTTTCATGTCAGATCCCACTAGCTGACAGTAAGAGAATAAAAAAGGCTCAAGTCCACAAAGCAGAGAGAATGGGAAGGGAGACAACATACAAAAGGGATTTTGACAAAAAGTTGGAGAGATGGTGCAATGGTTTGAATGTGTCTCCTCCAGAATTCCTATGTTGAAGCTTAATTTCATTGTGGTGGTGTTGGGGGATGGGGCCTTTTGTGAAGTGATCAGGGCATTAGAGCTCTGCCCTTGGGATGAGTCCGTGCCTTTTAGAAGGGCTGGAGGGCACTAGCTCAGGCCTTTTTGCTGTTTTCTCTTCTGCCATTAGAGGACAGAGTGATCTTCCCTTCAGGTGGATGTAGCAACAAGGCACCATCCTGGAAGCAGAGACTGGGCCCTCCACAGCCAGTGCCTTGGTCTTGGACTTCCCGGACTCTAGAACTGTGAGAAAATAGATCTCTGTTGTTTATAAATTACCCAGTCTTGGGGATTTTGTTAAAGCAGAACAAACAGACGAAGACAGACGGAAAGTAGATGAGCAGCAGCAACCAAGTGAGTGGGAGCAGCCATGCAGCTGCAGCTGGGGACACTCAGGGACTGGAGGCACCAGGTACGTTTGAGCATGGGGTGTAGACAGAGCTAAAACCAGAGGGCTGGTTGAGAGTCAGAGTCACCCCAATAATCTCCCAGCCCTCTGTGGCCAAAAGAGAAGGCCATCAGCCTAGCAGAAAGTGGAGTTCATTCTCTGGAGAAGTTGAGCAGAGGCAGTACCCCCTGATAAAAACGAGATATGTAGAAATGCTTCTTAGGGAACTGTGAGCCCCAGTTTCCCCCCAGGACCCCAGAACTGACCTCCGTGCCCACAGGACATCAGCTGACTTCTCATAGACAAAAAATGACTGGCCCAAAATAAAGACCAGTGGATGCCATATGTGACAGTTCCCAGGGAAAGGGGCATGCATTGCCTGTCACCCACCACAAGGCCTCAGTCAGCCAGCCCTGCCTGCAGACCTTCTGGTTAATTCCTCCAGCCCTTCATTCCAAGATGGCCACCACGTCTGAGGAAAGCCTCCAATGCAAGAGGCAGAGGCCAAAAGAGCAACTTGTCAGAGTTGCAGGCAATGCAGGGGCAAGAGGAAACACCCACAAAGTCATCATGAACACCCCGGAGAGGGAAGAAAGGACGTGACTCCATGACACAGGAATGGGAGATTGATAAAGAGAACATTTGCTAAAATAAAGAAGAAAGAAAGAAAAAGACTGGGGGACAGTGGCTCACGCCTATAATCCCAGCACTTTGGGATGCCAAGGTTGGCAGATTCACCTGAGGTCAGGAGTTCAAGACCAGCCTGGCCAACATGGTGAAACCACATCTCCATTAAAAATATAAAAATTAGCCAGGTGTGGTGGCGTGCGCCTGTAATCTCAGCTACTCAGGAGGCTGAGGCAGGAGAAACGCTTGAACCCGGGAGGCGGAGATTGCAGTGAGCCAAGATCTTGCCACTGCCCTCCAAGCTGGGCCACAGAGCAAGACTCCATCAGAAAGAAAGAGAGAGGGAGGGAGAGAGAGAGAGAGAGAGAGAGAGAGAGAGAGAGAGAGAAAGAGAAAGAAAGAAAGAAAGAAAGAAAGAAAGAAAGAAAGAAAGAAAGAAAGAAAGAGAAAGAAAGAAAGGAAAAGAATTTTAAAAAGTAGAAATAGGAGGACAGAATTTAAAAATAAATCAATAGAGTGGTTGGAAATTAAACTAAAGGAAATCCCCTGCAAAGTAGAACAGAAAGAAAAAAGATAAAAAAGTAAAAGAGGAAAGATAAGATCCAAGGAGACAGCAGATAGCAGAGTTAGGATTTCAGATAGAGGACTCATAAGAGTCCCAGAAAGATGTGACTGAGAAAAGTCTGGGTAGAGCACTTCGAAGGAAATCACTCAAGGAGGCATCCTAAGATTATAGGACATGAGTCTCCAGATAGAAAGAGCCCATCCTTGCAGGCTTTCAGAATGACAGGAATAAGGAGAGGATCTTAAAGCTTCAGAGGACAAAACAGGCCACAGTCAAAAGACTGGGACTAGAAAAGACACTGAGCTTCTCTAAAGCTACCCAGGAATTAAGACAGCCATGGGGTAATTCCTTCAACATTGACAAAATATAATCTCAACCCAGAATTCTAGATCCAACTGAATGGGTTGATCAAGAGGGATGGTGGGCAAATGGCATTTCAAACATGCAAGTCTTTAAAAAGCCATTTTCCAGGCTCCTTTCTTCCAAAAGCCACTGGAGGATGTGCACCAGCAAAACAAAGGTGGCAACCAAGAAAGAGGAGGAGGTAGCTTATGGAACACAGAGGTGGCAAAGGCGATTTGC